TTTGCCCTAAATATCTAGGTATAATGCCAATCAAAACACGTTAAAAAGTGTTTTACAAAAAAAATTTCGTCAAAAACCTATTCGTCAGTAGCGTCTTTTAGTTCACTCAACTAACGAGGTGGTATATTGTAATAATGTAGTTATTAAGGTTATAAATACAGATTTATTAACATATTCATTTCAGTACACCAGAATTACCTAAACTGGCATTATCATACTCAGTCAAGCGTGTAAGGAGAATATTGCGGTACGATAAACTGTATAATTAGTGAGATACAGAAAGGGAAGTGCTACCAACCCCTCTGACCTCATTCAAGACAGGTGCCTACCCAAGAGGACTCGGCTGATATAAAGAAACGAAAAATGGGGAAATAAAGGTATAGCCATCACTCGACGGCGCTCCCTTAATACCTCAACGACAAAGGTTCCAGATTAGTTGGCACCGCTTCCAACGTGTTAGTAGGCGTCAAAAGTGGCTTGCTTACCAGTAATAGAAACAGCGCTGTGTTACAAAAAACCCTATAGTTTTTTTAAAGATTAATTTTACACACATATATTATGTAAAAAAAAATAGGAAGTTTCAATATTTTGTATAGCATGTAACTCTATAGATGGAGTGGATACTTTGGTGAATATTTTTTGTAGTGTTACAGAAACTTGTTTCCACTACACTATAATAAATAATCTTACTAAGGTAGATAACAGCAATGGAGGAGAAGAGTGGGTGCTTTAAACACATTCAGGTTAATATGTAACAAACGCCCACTTCTCTCTTCATGTTTCATTATTTAATAGAGATAAAAGAAAACATGTTTTCTACATTCCTTTATAAGAGAATCTAGAATTTATTTTTTACTTTTCTTTAAAACGATGGATAATATTATATCGATTCCCGCTTCTATAGCCCGCTGTAGTTATGGAATAAGAGCAGCACTCATTTTATTAATGGATGATAACCCATTCCCATTGTAACCACAATTTCCGTCCCCCAAAAAATATGACTGACTCCCAAAGTCCCTTTTAGCGCGTTTTAAATTTAAAAAGAGAATGTTTTAGCGCCGCGTTTAGTCATTTGGTTTAATTAGTCATTTTACTTTAGCAATTAATTTCATTTAAGTGGTTGTGAATGTGCCCTGGTAGACAATAAATTTAGTTGAAGTTAAATAATTCATAAACGTTACGAAAAGAGGTCTGAATACTTGTGTGCAAATAGTCCATACGATTAAACGTGTTCTGGTCTAGATAAAATGTTCCTTTAATTCGACTCGAGGCTTGAGAAGCATCTGGCCCAGTAATGAACGCATTACTTTACCGAGTGCATTGTAAATAAGTAATGAGACAGCTGCTGAAATGTTCAATGTGTTAACGACAAACCGAATGTTTTGTTACTTAAAAAAATATAAGGTTTACTACGGAAGCAATTTATGTAATGACAATATAAGTTTGCATCTATTTTGTTTGACAATAATTCCAATAATTCAAATTCAGACTCCTGTCGCGACGTAATCTGTTTGCCAATCTATCTGTTTCGTAATACTTTAATCAAAGCGACTTAGTTCTTAGCTTATTGAAGTATCTTGGGAGGTATTCTGTAATAAATCATAATTCACGCTTCATTTCAATGCTTACGCAGCTGAAATGGGACTTTGTTGGAAATGACCTCACCTGGCAAAGATATTAATATTCTCCACGCTTAAAATATAGAACAAACGAAGCTGCCGACGCGACGGCTTCAATGAGAAATAGGATTTTTTATTTGTGAAAACGTGTTTAAGTCTAAGCGGGAGCAGAATATTTCGTTTGTAAATTGTTTTGGGGTATTAAATCTCAAGTCAGTGGAAAGACAATACTAAAATTACAATCGAGACTCGCTTTTGGTAGGTAGGTTAGTATTTTCGACAGCAGCATAAAGTTGCTAATATACGGAAGCTTCACACAAGTACACGATATTGATTCAACACCTCTGACTGTATACGTTGCACGCGTTACACAAGGGGCTCATCAAAAAGGGTGTTGAGGAATACTAATTCGCTAACCTAATAAATGTAGGTCGCTTGCTTCATAGCTCATTTTATTAGACATTTTTAAAGTTCATATTAACACACTAAATAATTTAAAAAGCTGATTGATCGAACGAGAATAAGGAAAAATATGAATGAAAAACGGCGTACATGCTCAAGGAATCCGAGATAAACTAGTTGGCCACATCAATAAATGCGTCAATTTGGTTTCTATTGTCCTGTTCCCCCGCAAGGCGATGCTCACGAACAAATTGTCGGTATCGCAGAAGTAGCGCACTGCCGCACGCCGGACGTACAACCAACTTCAGAGGACATTTATACCGGGAGGCGACAACGCCGTTACGATTCTCATTCAATTACAGCCTCCGTATAGTTTTAGTTTGAAATCTCAGTCGCTTGTCGTGTTACAAGTATGTCAAGCGGTAATTTGAATAGCAGAATGTATGAGTATTGGTAAAATGCAGTAAGTATTGAAACAGCAATTGTTATAAATAGCTGAAAACCACAAAACAATAGTTGTAACAAGACACCAATAGATAAAGGTATTGTTAGGATATTGATGAAATTAATTGTTAATTAAGTGACCGAGCTCGTATAGTGTGGAATATAAGGGAGTAGCGTGTCAATAACTTTGAACAACGTTACGGAAATAATTGCCTTAGAGCAGGTGTGAGACCTGTTACAGAGGTTAATGTGGCGTGTATTGTTGCCAGAAAGTAGAAGATTTTTATAACAAGGTATTATTCAATCACTGATACATACATTCTAAGTACATTGAACAACAGACTGACCTAAGAACCTTACAATAAAAAAAATGGAGGTAACTATCGGAATTCTATATTTAAACCGATCAGAGCACGCACGTGTAAACAATGTCAGTAAAAAAATATTTACACCTATAGAAACCTACCACCTATTCTAACCAAGCAAACAGTAAAGTTTTAAAATACAAGTAACGTTTTGTTTTTGATATCCCAAACGCAATGTTTTGACAGTTTCATCAAAATATGTATGTAGTGCATGCAGGTGGCGAGAACTCAGTTTTTTTTTAAGTATTAAACGTAAGTATATAAAAGTTCAACATAGTATTGGTAAAACAGTGTTACAACTTAAAGAATACCTATATATGACACGAATGCTTTATCTTCCAGTATTATGTATCATTATAGTATTTTAGTATACATTAATTTGATATAAAATAGATATACAAAACAGTTATACCTTCTATCGTAGAAACCACCATACCAAAGATGTCGCAAAATTTTATGCGAGCTATAACTCGTGGACGTCACATTGTTTATTAATAGTAAAACAACAATTAAACCTGTACTAACTTAACAACAAAGCTCAAAATACCGTATCAAGACCGTGTTAACTTTAAGATTGAGAACTATGGAACATAATTCCTTTGGAACTTAGTTGTTAGTGATAAGTTCAGCTCCTGATTTCAAACTCTGCCAATGTGTGTTGACTTGTTTTAGCTATGAGACTAATCAGTCAAAGTTTTAGTGCTGAACTTGAAACTCCGGGCTCGAAGCCAACTTTTCATTGATCACAAGGTTAAGATTGATACAACAATTTGTTAGAATTCTAATCAGAAGCCTATTATTATGTAGATCCTGTTTTATAATGTCTTAGTCTTTGCTTTCTATAGATTACTTTTAAATATGAAATATAATTTGAAAAATGATGACTGACATAAAATATTTTTAACATTAAGTTCTCCGATATGCAATTGTATCTATATAAAAATTAATAGCCAAATGTGTTTGTAAACGCATAACTCTTTTTTTGCCAATTCTTTTTTTGTTGTTTTTGTTATTGTCAGGTCTCTTATGATTTTTTTAAAAATAGAGCTGAATTCTGGATATGTTCTACCCTTTCGTCGTTAGCGAAAGAGGAGACCCGTGCGAAAGAATTTCAATTTATATGAACTGTTATAATTTAATATATCAGGTATTTATATGAAATTGGTGGAAAGTCCCCCAAAATTATATTATAAAACATTTTTTTCGTATTGTACCATATTCTAACAATTCTTTCGTATTATGTGTATGATATCATAGCGTCCATAGTTAAGCAGACAGATCGAAGAAGGAAGAAAGTGAATTGTTTTCTAGAGACACAATGCTAAGAAATGTTTAAGTGACGCGCTGAGAGCCAAGTGTTTAACTATTTGCTGGTGGAACTTCCAGCCGGATTGTTTGTTGTTTACGAGTATTGCGAAATCCAAAGATAAATATTACTTTAGTGGTTATTTTCATTATCAACATTTAAGTTGAGTTTTCGATTTGTGAGTTTTATGTAGTGTTTAGAAACAAACTTAAGATAAGAAACTTGTCGTCTAAATATTTTATTCGTTAAGTTTATTATATCTTAAACAATATTGAAAACGTATAGCTATATTTTGTCTAAATAAATTGTCTTCTTTATGAGTACATTTGTACTTTAACATATAATAATGGCCCTATTTGCTAAAACCTAGTCTCCTGTTTATTACACTTAGGAAAAAATAGCCAAACTTGGTAGAAAAAATAAATTTAAATTGGACTCCCCTCTTTGTCAGAATGTATCGTCACATTTTTTGTCGTTACTCCGAAACTTGGGTAAAAAGGTCCGGGGTTAGTAAGGATAAAGTAATTAGAGTACATCGTGGTACCTACGTTACGAGGCGGGCTTAGGGACGTTATGGTCCTATTTAGTTACCGGTTTTTATTGCCTTTTAAAGCCAAAAAGAAGCAGGAAAAGTAAGTTTGTTTCGGTAAGATATAATGTCGTTAAGTTAAATGTAATTATTTTTAGTATAGAACGTCTCATCAGTACACGAGCGAAGTAACAATGTTTATTATTTATTTACTTTCAGGTATAATAACTTATTGGTATTTTTGAGAGGGTAAAATCATCAAATGCAGTCTCTCGCCTAGTGTAAGGCGAGAGGTAGTGTCAGACTGACTAAAAACCCCAGTTACTTCTCCTGCTTCAGGCCAAGGCCGCGGTACTATATTGCGTTTGCCACACATTCCTGCCTCCCGGCTTAACATCGGTCGTCTTCGGCCCGATCTTAGATAGTAAGTATATTGGCTCTTTGAGGAGGTGCGGAATTCTACGCAAAGTCACAAAGAGCACAGCAAAGGCAAGAGAACAAAGCGATGCTCAGCCCAAGCAAGGCTCACCGCCACGGCGTCTTCCAGCCGGTCCTCACAATGACCACACCCGGGTGTTTCCTTATCCAAAATCCGCCTTATCCAAAATAGGCACATACCGGAGCTAACTGTACCTATTGTGTAGAAGGTTAGTCGTTAGGTAGTAGTAATAATTGGTTAAGATACACACATTTGATCATGCAAAAACTTTGTAACACAACCTACGAACCTAACCTTGAACCAACACGTGTGTAATAATACGGTTGGTTCTAACTAGTCAAATTAAACTTTTATCCAAATGTCAAAAACTATACTTTTCTAAGAAATTTGTATGAAAAACTGAGTTATGACGACATAGTATTTTTAAGTCAAATAGCTTACTTTTTTCTAAATAATTAATTTAAAAATATGTTAAACTTAGTATATTGTTCGATCGACGAATAAAAGTATAGTTATTTTTCAATATGTTATTGTATTGAAACGTCGAATTAATTTATTTTTGACCTAGGAAACTACCCAATTGTTACTACTATTCTCTTCAATCTTCAAAGCTGAGATTTACGCATAGCACAAAAATACTTTTTATTTTTGTAAAACAAAAAGGAGGAAGTGTATTCAAAGAATTTACATATTTAACATTTGTTTCACGACTGAGCAGATACAAGAAACAAGAAACAGAGATACAAAGTATTTTCGACATCATTTGTGTTCGGTGAATGGGGAAAACATTGAATTTTCAAAAGGCTACAGGAAAAAAGGCTATTTGTATACAAACAATTGATTTTTAACTGAACAATAGACTCTTTTGGCCGGCTTAAAATGTGTTATCCAGCTTCAATATGTAGGACGACGATTCTGCTGCATACACAATCAAAAACGGAATTTTGATTTGCATACAAATGAAGGTTTTGGGGTCGGCCTGCCACCTCGTAAACGGGACCTTTATTATACCTATGACCTTGATGTTGCGAACCCCGTGCGGTGCAGCCATTCTGGGCAAACATTCATAGAAATGGTAAGCTATTATGTAACGGAACTTATTATTGTATTACAAGTAGGTATGTATAGAAGTATATACATACACATACAGTAGACTTATAATAGATTTGCTATTATCAGCCTTATATACCTTTTGTACAAAATATGTTATTTATTTTATTTGCGTATTCCAAATTCTTTTGAATTCGATTATGTTTAACGTGTCTTACCGTTTATACACCTAACACACATTCATTTCTTCGTGACTATTGTTGTTTTAAAAACGCAATATTACATTTTTATAAATATAGATATATGAATTTAGTACCAATTCTCGTATTTAGAGTCTACATTAAGTTATAAAACGCTATGTTACCTCATAATAACGTTGAATAAGAAAGACATAAATAAAAAAAACAAAGAAAAATATTATGAAAAATAAGTAATATAACAAATACTAGGCTTACTAGTATATCATTTTATTTCAATGAAAGGTACTTAATAAATTGGTATCATCGTAGAGTAGCAGTGGCCAACGACCACTCTACATCACTTGAAAGTACTTTACTAGGTCTATTGACATATTAGGCTTCAATCGGATCAGTAATTGGTTTCGATTGCAGATCTCTACAAGCGAATGACCTAAATTGACCATGAACTGTATTAAATTAAACGAAATGTCGACATAGTAAGTTTGGGAGAGCCATTCTTCGGCACGAATATGTCGGCACAACCGGAGTGATACCACGGCCTCGTAGAAAACTCGCGTGAAACAACCACAGCGTTGTGTTTCGCCGTGTGAGTGAGGTTAACGGAAGCCTTCCCCTCCCCCAATCCCTAAAAATTCCAAAAGGTCGGCAAACCACTTGCCGCCATTAGACACCCCCATGGGCAGCACTGATTACTTACCAGCAGGTAATACGAATGCTAGTTTGCCGACCCATCACATAAAAAAACGGTACAGTATTAAACCAGACGTTATATCATGTATTTGAAGTGTCACTTAAAGTTAGTAAGTAAACAAGTATAAAATCAACAAGAGACGGCAACAAGTCTTGGCAAGGGTATCTAGGTTTTATAGCTCGAGACACAAAACAAACTTCGATTGCCGACTGTTTGCGAAGTGTTCCGAATGACATCGGCGTAATGTGCCACGTAGGGCATGAAGGAAAGGGGCCCCGACGTAAATATTGCTGATTGATACTAAATTGAGTATTATCATGCTCAGACAACCGTAAACACGCTCACTTATTTCCAATGATGTGGGTCTCCAAAATATACAAGTATTTTTGTATCATCATCGTCTTGTGTTCAGTGTTCAATAAATTGCCAAAGACTTCTTTCTGTATACGCCGACAAGTTGGGTAGTCTAAATTTATCGAGCTTGCCCTATGTTTATTTTGAATTAACTTTTTAGGCCTAGTGTTGCTGTTGATAAAATATTGGTGAATTATATAAATTTTGTTGACATTCTTGGGGTCACAGGCAAAAAGTGGACCGTATTTCTGTGTAAACAATTTACAACTGAAATAAGTATAAAAGTTGCCGATTTTTTACCTTTGTATCTCGTAAATCACGCAAACTATTGGTAGTTACTTATAAAGGAGCTGAAAGTCGTCACTCTTGGTAAAATATTGATTTCCTAACTTAGTTCAGAAAACAAGAACAAAAGCGAAGTAGGTATGTCACAACCTTTTTCTTTTTGTTCTTTGTCAGTTTTGTTTCATATCAATTAATTATATGAATTCGTAATTCAAAAATCAATATATAAAATATTATGGAACAGTTTCAGATATTTTAAAATAAACATAATTCCATTAACTGCTCCAAAAATGGTTGTTTTCTCTCACAAGTGTTTGTATTTGATTTATTTTCTTTTTCAATTGAAAATTGACTATTTACTCGATGCTGTTTCAATGTTTCCTCTTTCGAAAACAATGAAGTCTGCCACTTCGTCTAAAAACCAATTTCGTTTGATAGATCTCTTAGCTTCGACAGTAACCCTTTATCATTTTGATGCTCGTTTTAATTAACATTCTGTTTGTTATATTTCATTCTAATTAAACAAACAATTGCAGGCAGGCTTATTATATAAAGTATTGTATTGAATAACTTCAAGGCTAGACTTACTTAACTTCACTTTATAAAGTTGATTTTGAAATTCACCTGTAAATGTTATTATAAAATAATAAATCTAAAACTCACATTCAGCACGATGATGAAGAAATCCAGAGTGAACAGGAAGGACGTAATCGGATTGAAGTTCAACTGAAACAAAAAAAAGATTTCAGGCACCTTTATTATAAGTAGTTACTCATTTGGAGTAAGGAATATAAAAAATATTACAAACTACCAAAATAATGCTACGCGTGAGGCGTCTACGAAACTCGTAGCAGCTCTACGAGTTTCGTAGCGCATAGCAAATTTAGATCCTTAGTATAAATGGATTCCAACGCTGCCGATATAATGTCCCTAATCAATTATTTATTTCCAAAAATAAAATATCAATTGACTGTTATAAAGTAAAAAATTAAGGTGCTGTATCATTCTTATTTTACTATTCGTACAAACTCAATCTCGTGCATTAAAAATATCTTTTTATAAGCGTATGCCAGTGAAACTGCTGAAAATATACATAGAATCTATTGGAATACAGAACAATAAAGATAATGAAACAAATTCGTAAGCAGTCTACAATTTATTTCCGCCAGAAACGGTTTCAGTGTAGAAATAAAATTTGTTGGCGCGGCGTATCTTATCACGGATCTGGGCCTTTCGGATCTGAACCCCGACACTGCGCCGGGTATTACAATCTATAATAGATGCGCCAATTGGCTTGAGACCTTTAACACAAAATAGTTTTCCGTTTTGTAATTTTAAAATTTATGAATCGATTAATATGGAGATGACCAATCAATCAGTAATGTAAAAAGTGGTGGGTTTTAAATAACTTACGTTATATTAACAAGTTTTTATTGAAGCAAAGAAACACTACCTCTTTGGAGTGCTCATGGCTTTAAGATGAGTACACCCGATACGACATTTGATCGAACCCGTAAATCGAAGTTTGGGGAGTGTGACATTCAAGCCGGGTCTTACCACGTTAAATCTACGCCAGTTAAACTTGTAAGACGCGCAGAAACTTCTCTAATTTGCACTTGGCACTCTGAGTTCGAACAAATTTATAAATGGTGCAATTAGACCGCCTATTTGTAATCGCCAAACAATAGTTTTAATCAAACTTTTGCGTTGAATATTTTCGAAGCGTTCTTGAGTTTGATTTGCAAAAAATATGCCAATGTCTGCACGCGTTTTCATCTAAATGTCGGTGATGTTATCATCCATAGATTACAATCCTGGTTGAGATCGCATAGGTTGGAATGTGATATTATTATTGTATTAAGTAAGCTTACAGGTAAACTAACATTTTCATTACAAGGGATAAAGAATATGTCTCTGTTGATTTCATCGTAATATAATTACGTGTGCATATTATTTATTTATTTACCTTATACCACAAAGGTAGCCATTTTATGTGCTAATTAATGTATCGATTAAATGTTTAAAAAAATAAGTATAAAACTTCACCTGAAATCACCCTATCTATTAAAAACCACATCAAAATCAGTTACGTAGTTTTAAAGATTTAAGCATACATAGGGATTTAGGGGCAGAGAAAACGACTTTATTTTATACTATTTAGTGATTATTAAAGAACATATCTATGTTTGTTGATGCACAGATTGCACAGTACGAGTAAGTAAAATTAACCACGCATCATCACGCAGCTGCTGCCAAAGTTACCAAGAGCTATTTTAAAACGCATCAATAACCGTTTATGGCTGTAACAAATAGTGAAAACATCGGATTCAATAACCATTTGTTTTCGTTTTCTTTCTGGTAGAATAGCGCCCAGCTTAGTATGGGGAAATAAATGGATATTGCAACGGGTGACAATAACAAATATGGTACGCAATTATTTACAGGTGACAACAAGAAAATTCTAAACTAATATGATAGATAATGTGTTAGTTAGTTTTGGCACAGGACTAGCTCCAACTTAAAAATGTTCAGTCTAATAGCAGAGGTTAAGTGTGGGAGAGCCATGCTTCGGCACGAATGGGTCGGCTCGACCGGAGTGATACCACGGCCTCACGGAAAACCGGCGTGAAGTAACCACAGCGTTGTGTTTCGCCGTGTGAGTGAGGTTACCGGAGGCCCAAATCCTTCCCCTCCCCCAATCCCTCCTAAATCCCTAAATCTCCAAATCCCTAGTCCCTAAAAGGTCGGCAACGCACTCGTAACTCCTCCGGTGCGAGTGTCCATGGGTGGCGCTGATTGCTTACCATCAGGTAATCCGTCCGCTCGTTTGCCGACCTATTAAATAAAAAAAGAGGTAAAGTTAGCTTTTAACATAAGAGGATCTGTAGATTTCTAATAATACACCGTACGTTTTTAAAATCGGTGTGACTATTAGTGTGAATAATTTTCAATTATTTGTCTGGGTACTGTACGAATATTTTTTTATTATTTAAGTAAAAATTATACCCCGAGCAAATGTATATACCTATATATGTATACATATAATACGATAGTACGTGTTATGTGTGTCAAAAAGGATTTTAAGTATTGTCTTTTATTTGTATACATGATGATAAAATATGAGGATATCGCTACCCGAAGTTTATGACAAAAGATGGTTGATTATGTAGATGATATTGGTAATGTACTAATATATGAAAATATCTACACAGCATGCATTTATTTCCAATGAAACTCTTGAAATAGGCAGCGTGCCCTTTCACGGTAACGTTGGCTGTAGTTAATTCACGTGAATAAGTAAATATACATAATTTCAATAAATACATAAAACTGTGCTTTGTGGACACTGGACTCAATGATAAAGAATGTATGTGCGATTAAGGTATAATAATCAGTCAAATGTTTATAATATTAATGATATTTAATTTTGATATACGATGGTCATAATTTTACCCTACGTTCGCGCTCTCGTGGCCTTTTAATTATGCAGGCTTTATGAAGAGATGCTCTTGCTACACGCACTGCATGCAGGCCTTTCAGGTCACTTGTTCAAGTAGGGGCTTTAAAATTGAAAACAATGTTTGCCTTCACCTATATAGCGCTGTAAAATAGCTATCCTTTTCTACCGTTGCCAATGTAATAAAAAAAAATCTGATTCTTTAATTATTATTTCTAACTTTACTACGTACTTTTAACATTGCTATGCGAATTATCAGTCTTAACTGTTAAGTTTATATTAAAATTTTATAATCGGTGTGTATAGTTATAATAAATACGAACTTATTAAATCAGCTTCTGCACTCTGCACGGAAAACGTTTATATAATATATACATATAAAATCCGCCTTGTATTTCAAAGACAGTAAAAACGAAGAAAAATAGCTGCAAAAAGTAAATTAGATTTAGTATTAGACGGGAGACGAGTATCAGCTCTACGAACTCGTGAAAGAAGATATTGAGGATTATAAAGGAAATTGGAAAAGACATGTACGGAGACCTTTTAGAAAATATGTAGAATATCAGCCCTCTGACCTTTTCGTTTTAGGTTTCGTTTTGTTTTACCATTCAGCTGCTATTACAGCTCCACATAAATCAAGCAAAATTAAAATAATTACATATTATTTTCTCCTTTAGATGATGAATGGCTTTAATATGGTTTACATCTTTATTGGTGTCCGCATAAAACCTTAATAGAGATTTTTTCGTCTCAGTAGGTAAGTACCTAATATTATTAGTTACGTTGTCTTCAAAAACTTTGCCAAAATCTATAAGTTACTACTTTCAACTTTAAAATATTTTAAGATATTATCGCTCAAACTGGGCTTGACCTGTATTTTTGGAAAATAAATATTGATTATGCATATATGCGTAATAATTTAGAGCCCCTAACCATAAGACATTATTACATAATGACATGATACTAAAAGTGGGTTCTAATTTTAGTTTATTTTTCACAGCTTAAGCGAACCCGCTTGGTTTTTTTCGTGTTGGCAAGAGGGATGGGTGTATTAGTCTGAGCCGCGCTAAAAACATTAGTCGGGCTGAAGTCTAGCGGTGGCTAATTGATTTTGACTCGATGAACTGCAACGAACCAATGCTTAAGTAATAAACGGAACTCCCGTTCAAGGAGGTCCCTATTATTGCTTTTGAATATTAAATTCTAAAAGTAGTAAATAGCTTTTTCACTTTTATCGTTCAAATCTAGAAATTTCAATAAAGATTTAAGATTTTATGATCGTTTTTCCTTGCTGTCTGTTACGCCACACTGGGCAATTTGACTGGATGCAATATTTAATATCTATGATATTGGATTTAAAATAGTTTTTTTTTACATTCGTTCTCTGAACTAGTTATTCAACAATAATTAATTTTCTAACAGAAGATTACATGCATTCCGATTACGTCTAGTGTTCTATTTTTTTGTTATCTAATTTGTAGATAACAGCTAGTAACTTGGGAGATTTGGGTTCCGTCTGTTAACAATAACTATAAAATCTCTAGTATGTTGTTTGAATTTTGTTGTTCGGAGTTTCCTCAAATTAGTTAAATATTTAATTGGCTATATCTATACTTACATTTTATTGAAAACCAGGGAGGTTTCTTAATCAGTTTTGAATTTTAAGTGAGGTCTTAGTATTTACTCCGGTTATCTGCTAGTCCAATTCGCATATGGACTGTTTTTATTTCGATCTTCCGACTGAGATAAGACAGCCTTCGTACCTGCTTAGCCACCCTGCACACTGCGAGACCTCGTTCACTTCCATTAGCAATGTGTACACACCTCAAAGCTTTTACCTCGGCAATTAAATTTTGACGATAATAAAATTTGCGTAGAAGACTTTATGTAGGTACCTTTATACTGCGTTATCGAGAACTTGTTTAGTCAAATACTCGAATGTTTAAAAAAACATTTTGTAACTGAAATCCGTGACCCGGATCGTATAAAATATTACGAATAGGTATGTTGTATGTTTGCGATGATAGGATCATTGATATTGGAAAGAACGGGTAAAAGGCGAGAAGTAGTTTTTAATATCAACGCTTGTTGTTCGGCGAATTTGGCAGAACAATAAGAAGGGTTGCGCCGCGTTATGAGAACTGACTAAAGCCATGGTTCGCTGCATGTTCGTGACTATGTACGATAAAGTTGTAGAAGTTGGCCAAGTTACGGCCGTGCTGATCATCGTAGGCAAAGTTTGTCGAATGATACTAAAATAGTTCTTTCCAAATGTGAGACCTTCAGTGTAGGTACCTTATCGTGGAACAATCATGTTTTTTGTATGAACATCGGCTCAAGGTTGTCTCTTAAATTATAAATATTACATAACAACATATCGCCCTTGGACTTTCTATTTACTAATAATCGTGCAATGCAATGCTTTAAGCAAAAGTGTATATTCTAGATTATGTGTTCTTCAATAAATTTGATTTATTTATTATTACCTGTTACCTGTAATGAAAAAACAATCCCGATGGTTGTATCATAAATATTTACTGACAAAGAAATCCGCCTTAAAAGACCACTTTTTTCATTTTGTGTATGTTAAGGCCTAAATTAATAATTAAATAAAAATAAGGCGTAAAATGTAAAAAAGATGTAAGAAAATAAATATTTGTTTCTATAAGTACATAATAAATATTATTTTATTTTATTTTTCTCTTTCTCTTTGTGATCAGATATCGAAGAAGTTTAACTAAACGTTTTTCAAGTAAATAATATTAATATAGTGAGTAAAATAAGAATATTCATAATACGGTTTACGCAGAAATAAATACAGAACTTACGGTACCCTAAAGCTAGGTTTATAGCAATCAATAAATATTATACTAATATAATCTTATCTAACTTGTTTACATGTACATAATTTTATCTAATCGCTCTTATTTCGCGAGTGCTTTTGAGCTGCTAGCGATATTCACAATGCGGTTAAGTAATGTGTTAACCTGATGGGTAATCCATCAGACTATGATTTATACAAGTAAAATTTTTAGTCGCTATGTCTGTCTCAGAGCTCTGATACAATTTCAAGGACGTTTGGTCATTTCGATTCACCAATGGTCGATCACAGACAGATTTAGGTGGAAGCATCGAAAAGGCGCGTAAAAACGGCCCACAGAATTTTAAACGAGTCAGAGTACTACGAAGTACTAAGGCTACGTGAGCTGCTCGCTATAAGAAGTAATGCACTGATGACAGATTGCTATAAAATAGTCAGAGAGCACTGGTTCTAAAGGGGGACCAGCAGCTGCTACACATAAGCAAAATAAACAAAATACAACTTTAATTTTAGGTAGAGGTTACTTTGACAACCACTTCAAACTCTTTGAAATTCGTGTCAAAAGAATAGGAAAAATCTTATGTTAGATTCTTTCATACAGATTATCTTTATCAGTTCTCTCAGTTCCCGTCCATCAAAAGGAGCCAGATATGTAAATATAGTTGACGCTTTCTTCCAACCGTTATTCATACAAAGAAGCTTAAGTTTAGCCCAGAAAGAGGCGAAGACAAAGTTTTACCACTGTCATGGATAAAAAACTTCTCTCTGGATGCTTATATACAACTGCTTTTATTTTATCTCAGTTTTCTTGACAAAGTCGTTCGTATTACGTTGTAAAGTAGGCCATTGTCAACTCGACACGAGTCCAACAATTCGCAAACAAACACCTCTTTAACAAAAGCCAGTTTACAGTTGGAGAAAGTTAAGAAGCAATACCGTAATTAACATTTAATCAATTATATTAGACTCTTAATTGAAAAATACGTTAACATGATTTCAAGTAACTTTGTTTCGAAACAAAACAGATCGGAAATGTGTTTACAAAAAACATGTTCCAGTAATTAACTGTGAAAAGGGATTTTTACACAACAATCAAATTAGAAGCGGGTAACACAAGCAAAACATTAAACTCGGAACAGCGCTTTATACACGTAATGCCCTCTGGAAATTATTCTAAAGAGTATTATCACGAACACGAAACGGCAGAAAATTAGCATTTAAAATAAAACATTTATCACAGCTACGTTTTAATTTCCGAATAAAATAAAAATAATGTTTCATATTCATCTAATATAGAAATCACCAGAAAATGGCCTGTGACAAATATTTCGTTTCGATGATCAGTTATGGTTTAATGGCTGAATTTGACCTTCGTATCATCGCAGAATTAGTATAAGGTTACTTAAATTAAAAGCAAATAATGATGAAAGCTTACATTATGGTAAGTAATGACCATTCACAAACCAGAGGAGTTGGAAGTGCGATGTCGGCCATTTGTGGCTTACAGACTGGATGATTTAGGATATTCTACTATTTTAGGCGAAAACAAATCCAGTAGGTACGTAAGTAATGATACCTAACGAGTATATTATAAGGTGTTAAGGCAGAAATTTTCAAAACACTATTTTGGCACTTGCTGCTCAGAGTTTAATGTAACTTCTTGAACCAAAACTTTCTTCTTTACTTTAGGACAAGCCATTTACGAAGCAAAGTGTGTGCTAAACATTGTATCCTAGCAAAAACTTTTACAAGACTATTTCTAGAGCGAACAATAAGGAGCCTATTCTCTACTTTGTATTTTAAAGTATGTTTATTCTAGAAGGAAGGATGAAAATCTCTTCATCGACTTTTGAAATCCTTGTTTAAATAACAAACGAAAGTCTGCGCTAGTATCAAACTAAACAATATTCTAGCTACTTTTTATGTTCAATACAGAATATTGTAGTGCAAATACTATCTATTGTAGTGCAAATACTGATAGAAAGTGAATTATCGGTGAATTTTCTTAGACGAAAGCTTATTTAAGTGTATTCTCTGGTCCAGGAATACGAAGAAAACCTAATCATTGCTAGTTTTTACGACTTTGCCTGGAGAAACAAATAAAAGTGAACATAAGCCACCGTTATGGCGGTGAAGGAGATTGAACTCCGAATAAAACCGTGCATTTAATTTAGTTTCCTTGAAAACTATTGTCAATTATATTTGGCTTTATAATTTATTAATTTAAAGTGAGTTAATAAAAAAATCAATTTTTTTTATGCAGTAGTAGATCGGCAAACGAGCAGACGGATTACCTGATGGTATGTAATCAGCGCCGCCCACGGACACCCGCAACGGAGGAGTTACGAGTGCGTTGCCGACCTTTTAGGGATTAGGGATTTGGAGATTAAGGGATTGAGGAGGGATTGGGGATGGGGAAGGATTGGGCATTGACAGAAGAAATAAATTTATTTATGTAGAATGCCTCTATTTCTGATGTGAACTAAAAAAAGTTGTAAAAACGTTTAGCTTGATTTGTGTGAGCCATCACTTATTTTTTTGAGAAATAAAAAAGAAATAAAAATTCGTCCTACTGCGGCTCTAAACCTTAAGCCAATCTAAAACAAGTAAAATAATACCTATTTTAGTATACATGTTCATAAGAATATCTTTACCTACATATATTAATGCCAGCTGCAGCTTTAAAAAGGTCTACTGAAAAGGTACGGTGCGATGTTATGTGTATATCAAATCCTTTAATACGTGTTTTTAAAGCAAGCTGTTTAGTAGCTATTATGAATAAATTCTCCAACATTATGAAAGTGTTATGTTCCATAATAACGATGCTGTTGGTGTAATGTTTGAAAGAATTGAAACAAATATTTTAATCTTTCACAATAAGGAACTTATTTGACATGGTTTTGTTTATGCTAAACAAATATGTCTTATATTAATACTAGCTACTCCCGCGCGGTTTCACTGGTTGCTCGGCTCCATTTGATAGTAGCGTGGTGTTTTATAGCCTATATATAACACTTGGGAATATTGTAGCTATCAATAATATCTGGCAATCCGACCCGTGGTTCCAAGGATTACCCCCTACATACAAACTTATAAATTTTACCTCTTTAGAATATTAGTATAGATGTTTCATTATAACCAGACTATTTCCGTCCACTGCTGGACATAGGCCTCTTAAATTGCACGCCACTGAGCTCAATGTTCAGATGTTCTCATACGACTTCTGACAGCCGCTCTATGGATATCGTCAGTCTACATAGCTGGCCATACACTACGTTTGTCTAAACTTGGTCTCCACTCCAGAACACATCTAGCCCAATGGTCATCGGTTCTTCGACAAATATGACCTTCCCACTGTTTGCTTATCCTTTGGTAATCTCTGTCGACAACTTTAATTCTCTGTCGGATCACCTCGTATCGAATGCTAATATTACGTTTATTACATAATAACGTATACGTAGATAATCGATTGACAAATTCATTTAAAATACCTTAAATTCCTTCATACATTGGATCATATATCCTTTCCCTGTGAACACAGTACTATGAAAGAGTACACCCCCTGATATTAGCAAGTCAGGACATCGTCATATAAGCCTTTAATCTAGGCGAATCGTTAAGCCTGCGGGCGAATTTGCAACCTTTGCAGTCTATGCCGGTTTCAGAGGTCAAACTCTACCAATGGTTGCGAGAAAATATCAGAGTAGCAACTATGTAGTGTTTTTTGAACATTTTTCAAGATTCGAAGGACTTTCGGTATAGAAACATAATGGTGCATGATTGTGATGTTATATTAAGGCTTACTGGTATTAATTTGTATTTACAACTAGTCTGAAAAAGTAAGTATTATAGTTTTGTTCAATAGACCCCTGATGTTATAAGAATAATTTCATTTGTGTTAGTTGGCAATGACAATGAACTTTAATCTAACTATCGCGCTGTAATTCGCATTTATATGTGATTAATAAATCTTATTTTACACAAATATTTTTAAAATATACAGAACCGATATGAATTGAATTCAGTTAGGAAAGTATCAACTATGAGAAAAAGTACGGTCACAGTATAGGCCACAAGATTGAACAGTTTTTCAATTTAATTGTTCCTCGTGAATGGACTACGCCAACTGTTGCACGCGCGCGAATTATTGTTCATAACTTTTGTTTGCCGTGCGGTTTATAGCTTTATGTATTGACATTTGCGTGAAAGTTATTGTTACTATCTCCATATGTACAGAGATTTGCAGCTTAAACACAAAGCAACACTTAAAATAAAATAAAAGAATAAATACGAAAACCACCTTTTACAAAACGAAACTTTTCAAGTATAAAAAATATGTAAATATATAATATCTGACTGAGATACTGGAATAACATTTTACTGACATTATACGGTCGCTGTAACTAAATTATCTAACTTGAAAACGGGGTAGAATGGCGGAGCCCAATTTATTTGAATACCCAAATACATCTACAAAGATCCAGTCGTAGGTATCCATAGCTGTAGGTACGGGTACGTTCGTGCAGCTGACAAATGATATAATGTCTATTTGGATGAATACGAATTTCGCCTTGGGCTAGATGTTCGCGCCCAACGAAACGACAAGAAATTTCCAAATCATTGGGAATTTCTCAAATCCCAATGTTACCTAATTAGTATGTTGGATCATTGCTTTTCTAAAAGCTGTTTACTAAGGTGTTAAATTACACATGTAACTTACTACGGTGATTAAGACTCCTGGGCCACATAAAGCCAAAAACGGAACGGAGGGTGTGCCCATTCAACAACTCGAATTAAAAACAGTGATCGATACGCTTTCGGTTGCGTATTCACAAACGAAAGCGCGTAGTAAATGAAAATGTCGTATGTGACATGAGAGGCTCTTAATGGTTTAGAAATAAAAAATACAATACACAATTTATATGGGAATAAATAATGGAGACACAGAGATAGGTATACTTCTGTTTTGTTCCGTATAATGCGAATGGTGTTATAAGACGTAGGCTGCTAAAGATATTTTAAATGTTGCCTTAGGCATATTGTTTTACTAACTTATAAAGAAACACTTTCATGTCAATTTTTCGGCTTACTCACGTAATAACTTGAAAATGCTGCTCATGAATATGGTCCTCTAGCATGGCTAGTTTCAAGTCGAGTATCTCGTCAAATAATTTAGAATGTCTCACAAAAGTTTAAAAATACATAATCATAATCATGTCGTTCGTCATCTGTCTTTATTATGAGTTGACTTTCAACATTGGTAATTGTTCGAATTTAAAATAAAGATTGATTCAACTACTACAATTTTATGTAAAAAATAGAATATGTTACACTAGAATTTAACTGATTTTTTATTAAAATATTTTATAGAAACTACTCCAGGTATCTGCTTTAGCCAGAGTAGGAGCCAGTAAAATATTTTTGCAGTCGAACCTATTATGGTTTTATTTTAACGTCCAGATGAACATTGATAAAAGCTTCCATGGCGGATTAAAACAATGCAGAATACATCGCGTTCGTTTAACTATTTTAAAACTCTGTTTTTGACCAAAATTCTGAGAATATATTTTAAAGCAAACGTAAATGCATGTTTTCGAGATATTAAAACAGCTATACAGCTCCTGTTAGTGGTTTCGTGTTGACTACAGTGTTCGTGAAAGAGCAAAAATCCAGCCATCCAAACTTATAAGCTTCTTTCTTTAACTTATGATTATATTTTCCACGATTAAAATAATCATTATTTTCGTGCTTCTCTAATGAGATGCCAATGAGTCCAATCCGGCTCTGTGCATTTTATTGCAAGAGACTTTGCTAATATTGTCACTCTCCATTTTAGTATTACCGCTTCAAAACACGTCTATCCAAAAGGTAGATTCCTTACCTTTAATTGAATAATAATAAAATGTACATCTCCATAAAAACTACAGTTTTGTTAGTACTGTTTTAGAGGCCTGCAAAAAAATCTCCATAAAGTCAATTATCCCGATGTCATTCAGCAAAAAACGTTGTACCAATAACACTGTTATTGCACTCAAAATAAAGTTTATAATACTACTTACAGTTTGCAAATAAAACAGGTAAACCAGGTTGATGATCTCGACCAGCGTTTCCATTCCCATGGCCACCACCCATGGAAGGAGCAAATATTTGATGTCCTAAAAAAATTACATTAATTAGTATGTTAATTTTTACCATGGCAGCCGGGTATTGTCAAGCTCATAACAATATTTTTGTTGCATGTTTTATTTTACCATTTATAAGTGTTGTTCGAAAAGCAGTAATGATGGGTTAAAAATTACAATTATTGTCAGAGACTATCTCTATCTCTCTCTCTCTCTCTCTCTCTCTCTCTCTCTCTCTCTCTCTCTCTCTCAGAGAATATATATGGGTATTTAAATATATTTTATTAAGAATACAACAGTAGATCTAATGCAAAACAAATTCTAGATGCCAATCAAAGCACTATCTTAATTGAAAATATCTTTATTTTCAAATAACCTTGTAGACCTTTGATTCTTAATTAAACATTTCGTATAAATCAAAAACTGAAGAATATTCAAACAACTTTTACATAAGCAATTAGTTAGGGCTCCTGTCTTAGACGTCGTAGTGAAAATATTTTACAATAACAAAGGTAGTAATTAGTAGAAAGACAGCATTATTTTGAACCTTTATAGGTATTCTGATTTAATTCTAACAAACGAACGGTAACAACTTGAACATTTGTTTCTATGACGAGAAAATTTGGTTAATTCAAATTCGTCGGAGAATTTTTGTTCCGAATTCTTATGAATTATTTTTAATTTTTAACTGATGAATTTCTAAACTACGATTTAGCGTAGATAGTTACGACTACTTACTTTACCTTAATATCATTGTGTGAATAGTTGCCTGTCAGTCTCAAAAGAAAGAAAAAATAATTTCGGTAAATTACAGATAAAACAATCACTACTGGTAGGTACTTCGGCCGTTAACAAGAGCGGATAAACCAAGCCAGACATTAAGTTTCAGGGGTGCGCGCAGAAGATGGGGTGCGCGCAGAAGATTGGGGTGCGCGCAGAAGATGGGGTGCGCGCAGAAGATGGGGTGCGCGCAGAAGATGGGGTGCGCGCAGAAGAAGGGGGGGTGCGCGCAGAAGATGGGGTGCGCGCAGAAGATGGGGTGCGCGCAGAAGAAGGGGTGCGCGCAGAAGACCTCCCCGTGCGTTCCGCGGCTGCTGGTCCCTTGCGGATACGTCCGGGGGGAAGAGCAGTCGTTGGACCGGTGCACCCTGGGTACGGACAATAATCTCTTCGCGTAAGCCAGCGTAGAGGAGCATTATTGTCCGGAGCTAACTTCTGCAGGAGGGGTCGCTCCTGCCCCGTCGACGTAGTTGATTAGGCGAGGACGCGGCCACACCCGCTTCGACGCAGGCGCGTCAATGCGGGGTACGTTTGTTTTCCTCATTCATTGAGGAGCAAACCTTTCGGCGGGTCCGCTGAGTCGGGTTGGCCGGACAGCGGACGGAGGCATGTCTCAATGCCGCCGTCGGGGGGCTTGGCTTTGCCGCCCGGCCCTAGAGGAAGGACACCTCTAAGATAAAAAACCACCCAATCCCAAGTTTCGGGAGCGCGGCGAGGGGATGAATGGCCGTTGGGTGTACGGTCGTTAGCGCTCCCACCTGCTGGTACCTGCCGCCCCCAGCAGTATGTAGGCTTACCCGGGTACCTAAGCCTCTGCCCGGGGTTGACCATTACTTGCTTTGTACTCGTGGGAACAATATGGAGACCCTAACAAATAAAATAAAAACAAAAAATGACGAGGTAGGTGAAACAGTACCAATGGTACTAATTGAGCGGAAAGGAGTTCTGTCGGACTCAGATAGTGCGTCGAGTATGAGTGTGATGAGCGCGGTGAGCGGTAATTTAAAACGCTTACGCAAACGCCCAAGAGAAGGTGCAGACTCAGGGTCGGAATCGGCCCTGAGCGATACAGCGATGCCGGCTCCTAAGGTCGGTGCTAAAAAAGGAGGAAGAGGTAGGCCCGCCACCACCGGCAAATATGTTGGTGTCGGCCTATCCAGGCGTGAGGCTGCGGCTGCAGCGAAAGCCGCAGCACTCGCCGATAAATTAGAGGAGGATGAGCGGCAAATAGCGGCTCTGACGAAAAGAGTGACGGAAGGGAGAGTCACTCGCCTGTCGGAGTCCTCAACTGTCGTCTCGGATGTAGGAGTCGAGGCAGAAGATCTTCCTGCCTCCTACCTAAACCAAAGGCTGGTTGACGCGGTTGCAGCAATCAGACAGGTGAGCAAAGTCTCGAAGGGCCTTAGCGGCTGCAGCAAGAAGGCACTTAAAGAGGCCACGGCCTCCATTCTGGAAAGTACTCAAGTACTTTTAACACGCACCGTTACGGAAGAGACGGCCCTACTGCGGGCCCAGAACAAAAAGCTCGCAGCACAAATGGCGGAGCTCCGCAAGGAGCATGAGGAGCTCAAGGCCGAGATGGTAAACTTCCGCCGAGAGCACCTCAGGCAAGAAGTGGGCCTTGCGCTCCCGACGCAGCAACCGCAACCGCAGTCGCCGTCACAGGAGACTGAGTTGACTCGCCTGATCCGTAAGGAGATGGCAAGTTTTAACGCGCGCTTCTCGGTGCTGGAGGGGAAGATCCTGCGTCCACCCCTAGCTGCAGACCAGGGCCGCACTTCGGCACCGACATATGCAGCCCAAGCTGCAGCGCCTCGTGCCGCCCAATCGGCACCTGCAGCGGGTGCCACACAGAAAAGGAATACCTCAACTGCCGCCTCGCAAATGAAATCTGCGGGGCCAAAATCAGATAGGCAGTCAGGAAAAGAAGCCAAACTGGCGGAAAAAACAGGTGCCACCGTCCGCCCAGTAACACGCGAGAATGGTACCAGACCTGAGTCGGAATGGAAGGTTGCGGGCGCTGCCAAAAAATCAAAAAGGGCACGCCAGCGGGCCAAAAAGCAGGCCCAGAAGGTAGAAGCGGCTACCAAGCACAAGACCGCAAGGCTAAGCACACCCCGCTCTACAGCAGTGACTCTAACCTTGCAGCCAGGGGCGGAGGAGCGGGGCCTTACGTACGCTGGGATCCTGGCAAAGGCGAAAGCAGAGATCTCGCTTAGTGATCTCGGCATAACGGGCCTGCGGTGTAAGACTACCGCGGCCGGCGGTCGCTTACTAGAGATTTCGGGAGCCACGAGTGGGCCCAAGGCAGACGCCCTTGCCGATAGACTTAAGGCGTCTCTAGGATCCGAGGATGTGAGAGTGTCTAGGCCAACCAAATGTGCAGATCTGCGCATCTCAGGCTTGGACGATTCCGTTACGCAGGAGGAGGTCGCTGCTGCCATCTCCAAGGCCGGAGGATGCCCGCCGGAACAAGTCAAGGCGGGAACGATACGTCGGGGTGTCTCCGGTCTTGGGACAATTATCGTCAGCTGTCCCGTAGCGGCGGCCAAAAAGATTGAAAATAAGCGGCTCTTGGTAGGATGGGTCTCGGCGCAGGTCGCGTTCTTAGCTCCCAAGCCCTATCGATGCTACCGCTGTTTGGAAGAAGGACACGCGGGGGCACGGTGCACCGCGGGAGTAGACCGTAGCCAAATATGCTTCCGCTGCGGTCAACTCGGTCACAAAGCTAGCATTTGCATTGCCAAGCCGCACTGCGTCATCTGTGCGGCATCTGGCAAGCCAGCCGACCATCCGACCGGGTCAAAGGCCTGTGCCAGACCAAAGAAGAACAATGCCAGGAGACAGCCGGTTCATCCGCCGGCTAGTATACCGACTTTGACACAGCAGGCAACCAGCTCTTCGCAGCCGGTTCACCCGCCAGCTACGGCAAAACATCCGCCGAGGGCTGGGGAGGAGGTCATGACCATGGAAACTTAATAATGGCCATACGTCGTCTCCTTCAAGCCAACATAAACCACTGCGCCAGAGCTCAGGATCTCTTGCTTCAGAGCATGGCGCAGTGGTCGATCGATGTGGCAGTTGTCTCCGAGCCGTATTTTGTGCCACCCAGGGATGACTGGGTGTGCGACACGAACCGCTCGGTGGTACTTATTTTGAGGTCTGCTGCCGACACCCTTCCCTTCGAGGCCGTCACCCGAGGGCGGGGCTATGTCGCGGCAGTTTGGGGAAATATCATGGTCGCGGGGGTGTATTTCCCCCCCCAGCCTTTCTCTCGCCGACATGGAGGGTTTGATATTGGAGTTGGGCACGATTGTCAGTCGTAGTCATCCTCGTCCCGTGATAGTCCTTGGGGACTTCAATGCCAAATCTACGGCTTGGGGTACCCCGGCTACGAATGCACGGGGCGAGTTAGTGGAGGAGTGGGCGGTCGAGCAGGGCCTGCTTCTCCTCAACCGGGGTTCCGTGCAGACGTGCGTGCGGCAGCGAGGTGGGTCTATAGTGGACCTGTCCTTTGCTAGCCCCACTCTCGCACGCACTGTCCAGGACTGGCACGTCTTGGAGGAGGTAGAGACGCTGTCTGACCATCGATATATTCGATGCAGCGTCTCTGCCCAGACCTCGGTTGGACCGGTCCAAGCGACCCCGGTGGGTGTTGGAGATGGTCCGCGTTGGGCGTTAAAGCGGTTGGACAGAGAGGCTCTCCTGGAGGCCTCTATCGTCAAGGCCTGGTTGGACTCTCCAGACAGGCCAACCAACATCGACGAGGAGGCGGAGTGGTTCCGGGAGAACATGTCGCACATCTGCGACGCTGGCATGCCCCGAGTCCGGCCGCTACCATCCAGGCGCCAAGTGTACTGGTGGTCGCAATCCATTGCGCAATTGCGCACCGCTTGTGTACAGGTGCGACGCCAGTATGCAAGGTACCGAAGAAGACGCCGCCGCCCCTTTACAGCTGCGGCCGAACAGGAAGAGGCGGAACTATACAACCGCTATAGAGAGGCGAAAAGCGCCCTCCAGCTGGCCATTGTCCGGGCAAAGGCCCAGGCCAACGTAGAGCTGTTGAGGACTCTGGACCGAGATCCGTGGGGACGCCCCTACCTCATGGTACGGGGCAAATTGCGCCAATGGGCCCCCCCATTATGCCGGAGTCTCCAGCCACAGCTGCTGGAGGAGGTGGTGTGTGCGTTGTTTCCGTCGAGACCGGAGCACACACCACCAGCTATGGTTCCGCCTCGTAATTCGCCCAACGC